CACTAAATTCGATTACCCACGATTGTCAACGAATACACCCGGTGAAAGATTCTCCTAGATTATGCTAGATAACCGTTGTACGCGTCCGTCCCGTCAGGAATTACGCCAACTTCAGCCGTAATAAGAAAATCATAACGATTTAAAATTTTGGGACTTCAGAGTCCCGTCGGGCAAAAAAGGGTTATAGTGACTATTTAATCATTCACTCAAAAATCTGTCGCAAATTTTTTTCTTCATTGTGACTGCTTCGGTGTTCGTTTCGTTCTCGAAATATTTTGTAATTTCGCATATCATCGGAAAAATTGTGAATATTTTTCCGACTGTACGCATGTGTAGTTAATTTCTTCATTCTTCTGCGCATAATGTGTCTACTACAATGTTAGGGAAAAAGAATTTCTTCAAGTCCTTTATGATATGAAGCTTTGGGCTAATTATTTTAGGAATTTTTCCCGAAGGATACAATTTCCTTTGTTTATAAACTGATATAACTCTCTGGCGGTAATACCTGCAATACTAAGAACAGTAAAAAATACTGCCATTGGCCATCGTTGTGGTCATCGAGCTACAGAATAATTGGCGCATTTTTGATTCAAGACATCCACACCGGCCTTTGTCGAATTATAAAATAAAATGATGTCAATAATAAAACACTGATAACTTTGTTTTCAAACTTCCACAAAATTTATTTTAAATATTATCACTACAGCTGTTTCGGCTGATTGCCTTTCTTAAGTGATCTATTTTGGCTTGGGTTTACAAATTTATAGTCTCCAATGAAATAGGTTGAGGAGGGGAGAACTGTTTGTCTCAAGTTGGTCATTCAGAATTACATCTGTGTTTTTTAATTTGTTGATTTCCATAGATTCTAACAAAGATAGCTTGTGGCATTTATTTTGAATGTGAAGAATTTTAAATTTGTCATTAAAAGAATGATTATGATCTAGAAGGTGAAGTGCGTATGTCGAATCTGTTTTTCTATTCTTGAAAGCCCTTTTATGTTCTGCTATTCGTTTATCAAAGTTTTTACCAGTTTGACCGATGTAAGTTTTTGGGCAGTCGCCACATTGAAGTTTGTACACACCACTATTTAAATGTTTTTTATTTTGGCTCTTGTTATTTTTAATATATTTGCCTAGGTTGTTATTTGTTCGGAAAGCTGGTGTTATTCCTTTCTTTTTTATGTGTTTGGCAATTTTTGTTGTTATTTTGCCTGTATATGTAATCGAGCAGAAGGTACTGGGTTTTTTCTCTGGTGGTGGAAATACTAATTTCAGGGCTTTCTTGTGTAGTTTTTGATTTAACATTTTATCAATTGTTTGTTCGTTGTATCCGTTGTTTACTGCTATTTGTTTAATTATATTTAATTCTGTCTCAAAGTTGTATTTTGACATCGGAATTTCTGTTAATCTATGTAACATACTACATAATCAATTATTAAAATGATGTCGGTTTTTTTTTGTTTTCTCAACAACAACATTGCCATGGTGCATTGTACATATCAGTACTACACTCCTGGCTTTTTTCGGTACATAAGGTACATGGTAACATCACAAAAGAATCCAAAAGGAAAATCAACTGGCCTTTTTCTTTGAGGTAGAAATTCTGGCGGAATTTAGCTGGTTATTTTTTTTAACTGTGCCAACGTAAGTAATACTATTTTTTCACGAGCCATTTTTACCGAAGTGTAGCAGTTATTGTCGGTCAGATTACGTCTTGTGTCATGAATTGATTGAGTAACCCGTAAATCGATAGGATGAGGGAAGGGTGATTTTGTAGTTTTGTTTTCGTTCCTGCCACTGTATATTTTTGCGTTATACATGTAATGCGTCTTGGGATCCACCAAAATTTGGATTTTAAAGCCATATTTAACGTGCTTACTGTACATTCTGAAACCACATCATCCCTTGAATGGAACTAACATTTCATCAATAGTCAAAAAATATCCAGGTGAGTAGTTGTTGGAACAATTTTGTACAAATTTTTGATATATTAATTGGGCCAATTTAGTGTCTCTTTTTCTCTCAGTTCTTGTTGTGGCATCATCAAATCGGAGACACGACATTATAAAGAAAATCTTGCTAGTGCCATTGTACATCAAAATAAATCGCGGCTTGTTCCATCAGTTGCTCACATTCGTGTCCAGATGTAAATACTCCATACATGTAGAGCAAACCGATAAAAGCTTACATTTGTGCAATATTAACGAGATGTATAAAAGCAGGACCGAATAACTGTCTGGAATTTTTATTTCGTTTGAATGTCCCATATTGCTGTTTGATAACTTCAATTTCGTTGGTCCGAAGCACTACTTGTTCTTATATATCTGGAGTTATCAAAAATTTACAAGTGTTTCAGAAAGTTACAAGAGTATTAGCGCGAACGGCACCTTTTAACCCAAGCAGAACTATCACAATAGCGTCTATTTGAGAGCTTTAGTTCTTTGGAGGAATTTTTGATCATTTTGTTTTGTCTTTTTCCTTGTAGTAATTTCTTTGCTTGTCTTCTTCCATTGCATCTTAATTTTTCAGATTGGTCGGTCTCTTCACTAGATAAAGTTTGAATCTGCTCTTCATCTGATGAATTTCATTCGATATCACTGACCGAATCATGACCACTAAACATTTCGTGGTTGATTTAGCTTTGATCGCTGATATTGGCCATTTGGATGATATTGGCTCAGGTTTGTCTCTCCTCAGCAATCACTAAAATATTTGTTGAAGACGACGCCGACGTTGACTCAACATTTTCCAGATCGTCAACCCAAAAATCCTCACTTCGAAAAAAGGAATCAATATCTTCGATGGTAAGAGGTTTATTTTTTTAGCTATTTTGAAGTGAGAAGAATAAAATACATATTATATTATTAAAAAAAAAAACGAAAAAAATACTAAATTAACCTAATATAAAATAATATTTACCTTAAACACAATAATTATATAAAAATCACGTAATTGCTATAAGTGGGTCTAATACACCCAGCTACATCTATAAAAGTCGCTAGTTCGAAACAAAAGTTATGCACTCTTCATTTTTGTTTTTTCGCTGTAGTCACTGTTTATCTTCTGAGTTAAAAATATTTAAGGAAACCGTAATTTAGCTTTTCTAATGTGGATTTCGACTAAGTGAATATTTAAGATAAGATGTTATCTGCAGTCTACAGTAAATGATGCCCAAATTATTGCATTGCTACAAGACCGAAGAAGTCAAGTTTATGCTTCTGAAACTTTAGGTATCCCGAGAACTACAATGCGGAGAGCTTTCCATCGCTTTATAAAAACTGGTAAATACTCACGTCGACCTAGTTTCGGTCGTAGAAGACTTACTTCGCAAAGAGATGATCATTTTATTGTGATGGAACTTTGAAGAAATTGCCATTCCATTGCACTTCCTGCAAGAAACCGTCTGTAGGAGGTTCGAAATGTGAATCTCAAGTGAGAGAAAGGTTAAAACACGTATCAATGAAAGAAGACTAATGGTAAAAAGACCGGCTATCTCCCGAATTACAACCCAGACACTGGAGTAATCGATTAATTTTTGCTCAACAGCATCAACACTGAGATTTACAGTGTAGAGAGAGGGCTTGGAGACGGAGAAATGAAAGATATGCCCAAGCTAGTATGTCCCAGAGAAGAAAGTTTGGCGGTGGTGATGTAATGGTTTGAGCTGGAATCTCATTTGAAGCTCTAACTGAACTTATTTTCGTCACTGGCCCCCTGAATGCTCACTGGTATATAGAGGATATTTTGTCAGAAGAAGCAGTTTTATTTGGTCCATTTATTGGGGACAATTTCGTCTTTATGCATGGCCATTTCAGAATGGTCAGCTTGAAGCCCTGATCTGAATATCATCAAATATATTTGGGATGAACTTCACCGCAGGGTTAGAAGTCAACCAGACTAGCAGGAACGTTTCGCAGAACTTCAAAACATGCTTAGTGAAGAATATAAACGTATTCCTCAAGTTTTTATTCAAAATTTGTTCCTTTCCCTTCCAAATCGTATGCAAACGGATTTTGATGTTTTGGGGCATAATATCCGATATTAGATTTTGTTTAATTTTACTCGTAATTTTCATTGTTTGTAATTCGTTTCGATATTTCACTATTTTATTTTGTAGCCATTTAATTAAATAAATTATGCTAAGGAATCAAGAAGTAATGGCCATTTTTTTGTTTTAAAAATGAAAAATGTTGAGGATACAACATGAAATAGCATAAGATTTCCAATGAATTTTGGAAGGGTGGCTACTTTTTTGCTGGTCAATGTATATGGCACTGTGCTATAGCACTGCTATAGCACTGTTTGATTAAAAAATTCACATATTTTGACTCTTTTTCTTAAACTGCCTATTCGTTCCGGATGTTGGCGATCATCACGGCTATCTTTACTTTGTTTACTGCAGCGCGGAACAGTTCAGTGGTAGTGGTGTTATACCACTTTCGTAAATTTTGAAGCCAGGAAATGCGTCTTCTTTGACTCTAGATTTTTAAAAGAAAAGAAAAATATGTTGTAGTCATAATTATATTATATTTAATTTAAAATTTTAATGATTAATTATTTAACTGTATATGTTTATAAGAACGGAAAAATAAGTCACATATATTGTCACATTTGTCTGTGTCCATTCTCGTATGAGTCCAATGATGATTCGGCTGATCTCTTGGCAGGTATAGTCTAGGATTTGGCGTCGAAGTTTCTCCTCCACAACCTAAAACAATAAAAAGGTATACACTCAATAAATAAAAAATAAAATAATGCAGAACAAAATGGAGACAACATCCATACAGAAGAGATAAAAAAAGATACAGAATAGATAAAACTGAAGAAAATAAATAAATACTAAATCACTACCAAAACGAAGAAGTGAATCACAAAGCTTGATGCTAAACAGGCAACATATACCTAAATCTTTGAATGAAGAAGAAGATATTTAATTATTTTCACATTTCATAGCTATGTCACAGATTGTTTATTATTCTGTGGCTATGTCAAAAGTATGTCATGTTTTTACATCTGCCATTTACAAAAATTTTAAATTATACTACGTGTAAAACATAAATGTAACCACATATAAATTTTCTACAAGAATGAAATATCCAAATATTGAAATTAGTTCATTACGTACAACCAATATTGCTTGGGAATGAGTGGAGTAAGTGTTCTAGAATCATTTTTTTGTGGAGGATTTGGAGGAATATGCGCTGTATTTGTAGCTCACCCTTTGGATACAGTTAAAGTACGATTGCAGACGATGCCAGTCCTCAAACCTGGTATGCCTCCTCTCTATTTAGGACCTTGGCACTGTATTAAAAAGTCTACCAAAGACGAAGGTTTCTTTTTTGTGTATAAAGGAATGAGCACTCCCTTAATAGCTGTCACTCCACTTACTGCGATCTGCTTTATGAGTTTCGAAATCGGGAAAAATATATTTGGACCTTCTGATGGTAGCTCACTGGCTAATTATCAAATATTTGCTTCTGGAATGTTTTCTGGATTGTGTACTGCTCCTTTAATTGCTCCAGGAGATAGAGTTAAGTGCCTTCTACAAGTTCAAAAGACGTTTTCAGGGCCTTTAGATTGTGTAGTTCAACTGTATCGGAAAGGAGGAATTCCAAACATATTTAGAGGACTAGGAGCGACGTTGATGAGAGATGCACCTTCGACTGGGGTGTATTTTCTTACTTACGATCTGTTACGACGTCAACTTAATAAAGAAAGTCCAGAAATAGATATAATCGGAACGATGTTCGCTGGCGGTTTCGCTGCTATTGCTTGCTGGTTGGTAGCTATGCCAATCGATGTGTTAAAGAGTAAAATACAAATCTCCTTAGAGGAAAAAGATAAACAAGGTATTATAGAAGTTTTAAACGAAGTTTTGAAAACCGAGGGAGCTGTTGGACTCTTTAGGGGTGGCACACTTATTTTAACTAGGGCGTTTTTGGCGGGTTCCATTTGTTTCTTAAGTTTTGAATTTTGTAAAGACTGCTTAAATAGTTACAAAAAAAGACAGACAAATAAAAAATCAGAGGTGTTTGAACACTGAACTTTACTTTAGAGAGTCATATAATTTTGTTTAAATAAAATTAAGAATATTGTTCTGAAGCTATTTTCTTGTGGCATTGTAAATTAATTACTATTAAACTGGGAATAAGCCACAATTAAAGATAAAAATACGTTTATTGACGTTTCAATTTCCACTTCGGAAATCGTTCTCAAAATACAAACAGTAAATTAAACAAATTTTGTTTTTTGTTACATAGTGAGAAATTCTTATAATAATTTAATTTTATCTGACTCATTTATATTGACAATTCAGACATACATTATGCATTTTAAAGTAGACGACTTTAAAATGATATTGCCAATATTGTTGAGTTGCGCTCCTGGGACAACTTTACTTATAAGATAGTTTATTCGATTACATTAAATCAACTTTAACTTGAGAATATCCGTCAGAAAAAAATCATAACATATAATTCGTCTTTAAAAAGACAAACACATGACATGATGACAGTAAAATTCTCCCGTTAGTGATTCCATAGTAAATTATGAGGGAAAACCAGGAAAAAAACCTCATAATACTATCCCGACATTGTAAGTATTTGTTCGTGAATTTAGTTTACCTTCAACAAACACCAAAATTCTGATTTTATATGTTACGTTATTTAAAAAACATAAATGATGTATCCTCTATATGTTACTGACTGACTAATACTGGTATTTTCTTATTAATAACTTCCTCTTTCAATATTGGTAACCAGATCCTACTACATTCTGCCGAGGAATTTGCGACACAATTGGTCTCATTTAGCATAATTAGAGCAGCTTCTTTGATTTTTCTTTTTTTACCATCCGTTTCTTTTAGGACTATATTTGAATTACTCCATTGAACCCTATGTTCATTATCCCATGCGTGTTTACAGATTTAAGATCTATCAAATTCTTTATTCTTAATATAAGATTGATGTTCACTTATTCTAACATTTAATGGCCTTGATGATCACCTTCACCTACACCTTCACCTTCACCTAAATAAAACTGATCGCATTCACAAGGTATTTTGTAAATGCAATTCTTTGTCCTTTCTTGTTCATTGTTAGGTTTTTTTTTGGACAAAATAGATCTCAACGTGTTTGTTGTTTTGAATGTTGTTGAAATGTTGAATGTTGAAGTCCTTTTATGTACGGTATTGTTATTTTCCTCATATTATTCCTTGTGTATGCTGTAGGATCTCGTTCTAAGTTGTTCTGTTCTATTCGATCGATTGTTGAAAATTCCTTATTTATAAACGATAAAGGATAATCATTTTTTAATAAAACAGATGTTAACAAATGTTTCTCCTGCAAGAACGAATTTTCATTAGAACAAGTAATTTTGGCTCTATCGTATAAGGATTTAATTATTCCCTTTTTTACATTAATATTGTGATTTGGTTTGAAATTTAAATATCTATTGGTGTGTGTTGGTTTTCTATACACCTGAGTCTCGTATCCAGTATCGTTCTTAGAGATTAAAACATCCAGGAAAGGTAGCGTGTTATTATATTCCTTTTCCATGGTAAATGTTATTGTCTCTTCTTTATCGTTTATATCATTTAGGAATGTGTCCAACAACACTGATCCATGAGGCCATATTGAGAATACATCATCTACATACCTCCACCATACTGTGGGTTTGAAATTTTGTTTAGAAATGATATTTGTTTCAAAATCTTCCATAAATATATCGGCTAAGAATGGAGATAAACTAGAGCCCATTGCTAGACCAAAATTTTGTTTATAGAATTCATTATTTAGTTGAAAATATGTATTATCAGTACATAATGTTAATAACTCCATTATAGCCGATATGTTTAGTGTTGTTCTAGTTGCCAATGAATCATCACTCTCTAATTTTGTCTTGACTATATTTAAAGTCTTATTTAATGGCACATTCGTAAATAAACTATTTATGTCAAAACTTACCAAAGTATGATTTGAATTAAATTCAATATTTGATAATTTATTTAAAAAATGTTGTGTACTTTTTATGAATGTGTCATTTTTATTTGTAAATGGTTTTAAAATATTTAATAAAAAATAAAAAAAGAAAAATCAAAGAAGCGGCTCTAATTATGCTAAATGAGGCCAAATGAGAATTTTACTGTCATCATGTCATGTGTTTGTCTTTTTAAAGACGAATTACATGCTATGATTTTTTTCTGACGGATATTCTCAAGTTAAAGTTGATTTCATGTAATCGAATGAACTATCTTATAAGTAAAGTCGTCCCAGGAGCGCAACTCAACAATATTGGCAATATCATTTTAAAGTCGTCTACTTTAAAATGCATAATGTATGTCTGAATTGTCAATATAAATGAGTCAGATAAAATTAAATTATTAGAAGAATTTTTCACTATGTAACAAAAAACAAAATTTGTTTAATTTACTGTTTGTCTTTTGAGAACGATTTCCGAAGTGGAAATTGAAACGTCAATAAACGTATTTTTATCTTTAATTGTGGCTTATTCCCAGTTTAATAGTAATTAAAATTAAGAAGGAATTTTTGTATTTTAGTTTTAATTCACTTTATTTTTGTCGATTTTTTGTGGCATCTAACAAACTGATCTGCTAATAAGTCAATCCATTGATAAGGGTCTTGAAGCCATGAATATTTCTTCCTATCAATTTCTTTCTTTATCTCGAACTTTTTGTTCCGTATTAACTGCAGTATGCAGCACCTGCTACCTTTCAATTAATTCCTCAAATATTGAAACTTTTTCTTTTTAATCATTTTTGTTTAGTCACCTTTACTTTGTCCTATTCTCTTTAATGTTTTAAACCAATTTTTAACATTTAGATTTTTAAGAAAATCAAAATACTGATTAACTCTTTTATGTGAACTCGCGGTCATTTCTCTTATCAATATATTTTTGACGAGTTGTTTTCACTCAATAATTAAATCCTCATGCTAAAATATGTGAAATTTTGTATTAAAGTAGATAATAATTTCCAATGAAAAGAGTTTTTCCAGTGTACTTCGAACATTTGTTGATGTTTCCATGTTTGTTGAGGTCGAGTTACGTCGTATGTAAACATCGGGAATTCAAAATCTAGCGAAGCGACTGCAAATTATCTGCCTTGCTGCACCTCATTCCTCACCCTTCACTTTGTACCCACGCCGCCGAGAACCAACTACCTCTGTACACCCGTCCGCGAATGCCCTTTGGCCAAGCTTCTACCAAAATATTTACACACAGGGATATTTGTTTGTTGCTCCACGAGAGTGGAAACATCTCCTTTTGCTTTTTGGGCATCCGAAGCAACCGCTAGAACTTTGTTAAATGTTATATGCCACGAAACTTGAGTTTAAAGTTTAATATGAATTTAAAACGTTGAGAAAAAAAGAAAGAAAAATATTTTCGAACAATTTCATTCAACATCATTTATTCATATTTTATCGGCCTTACTCCTGTTATTTTTCCTTAGAGTTTTTATCCCTGGACTACTTTTACAGCTAAAGCAGCTCTAGCTTTCTAATACAAAGAAAGCTGTGTCATATATCTTATTGAACGCTGTTATTAAGTCGAGTCGTTTTACTTTCGTTGTCTACAATCAATTTAAGTATTTCAACATTGATATTATCTAGACCGGTGGCTTTTCAGTTCTGAGCTTTTACTGGATAGATAACTTGTTCTTTTACATTTAGTTTTTTTTCTACTGATAATCTTATATTAAGTTTGTTTGCTGTGGTATTGAAGGTGTGGAGCTGCCTTTGTAGGTCATCTTTGTTATCAGCAATTAGTACTGCATCATCGGCATAGCATAGTATCCTGATTTTATTCGCTCCCATGTGGTATCCGTGTACTTTTCTTACTTCGTGAATTATTTGATTCATCACCATATTGAATAACAATGGGCTGAGCGAGTCTCCTTGTCGGATTCCTCCTTTTAGTTCTATACATTCTGTTTCTCCTCTTGGCATTATAACTTTGGTCTTGCTGTTCTTGTTAATTTCATTAATTGTCCTTATTTTCTGATGGTCTATTTGTTCAGCTTGTAAAAAATTTAAGATGTCATTTCGCTTCACCCTGTCAAAAGCACTTTTTAAATCTACAAAGCACATGTATGCTGGTTTTCCATATTCAATAGACTTCTCTATTATTCGTCTAATAATAAAAAATGCGTCTATTGTGCTGCGGTTCTTCCGGAAGCCTTGTTGTTCATCTGCCATTTTCGTTTTTTCCTCGATTTTATCTTTTATGACTGCCGTTAACAATTTTAATGTACTATTCATCAGACTAATGCCTCTATAATTTTCAGGATTTGCCGAGTCTCCGTTTTTAAGTACCGGTAGCAGGAGACTTTCCTTCCATTCCGCTGGTACTACTCCGGTATTTATTATATCGACGAATAATTTTAGGAGCCATTTGCCTAGTGTTCCTCCTCCATATTTTAGCAGTTAATTGTTTATCTTATCAGAACCAGGTGTTTTTCTGTTTTTTAATTTTTTATTCGTTCTTGTAGCTCTTCTTCTGATATTAGTACTCTATCGTGAGTTTTGTTAATGATTCTTTATCTGTTATCTTCTTCTCGTTCTCCATATAATTTCGTGAAATGCTCAGTCCATTATTCCCCCGTAATGTTATCTATGAGTACAAATTCATTCATTTCTGTTTTTTTCCACACCTTTTTCTTGGATCCATGCAGGTCGTATTCCATATCTTTGGTAAATTTCTCCCAGTATTCTCACGTAGTCTTCCCGTGCCTTCGGTGTCTTCAATCCTTTATATGTTAGGAAAGCTTGTTTCTTTTCATTTGCTAGTGCTTCCACCCTTTTGTCGTACCATGGAGTTTTGTATTCCCGTTTATTTCTGTTAACTTTAATTTTACCTAAAGCTATTTCCGCTGCTTGTAGGATAAATTTTTTAATAATTTTTCAGGTTTCTCCTATATTCTTTTTAGTCTCTAGGTTATAGCTGTTTAGCTTTTCTGTTAGTCTGTTTCTATACAAGTTTTGTGTCCCTTCTTCTTCTAAGCTTTCTATGTTAAATATGTTTTTTTTTTCTATTTGTCTTCTATACCTATATATCGTTATTATTATTTCT